TATATACACATATACAGGTACATATATATATACATGCATACATATATATATATATATATATATATATATATATAAATGTATATATACATATATATATACACATATACATTTATGTATATATGTGTGGGGTGTGTGTGTGTATAGTTTCATATTTTTTACCTTGTTATTCGCAAGTATTTCAGCTCTGTGCTGTGAAAAGAGTTGTAAGAAAATAAATGAATTGAATTGAAACGAAATATCTGCGTTTAAAAAAACACAAGCGGGCTTCCTTGCCAATCACGTGTGAGATTGCTTACATAGTAACGCGTACGTAACTAATGGTTACTTGTTTATACATTGTCTATTCGGTATCGAACTGTTGTTAAGGAACTTGTTCTATGATGGGCTATGTTACGTTTATAACATTATTTGATCTAAAACATTGAGCACTGTTTCTTTCAAACCTACTTACATGCATATGTAAAGCTGTCATGTGTTGTACATTCATGCATTTCTGTCTGTTTCATAACATACATATTTATATATTTAATTTGTTATAATAATAATAATAATAATAATCATTTATTAGGCGCCCTTTCACAAGAGACCATTTCTGTGTGTTTCGTAACACATACATATTTATATATTTACTTTGTTATAATAATAATAATTATTATTATTAGTAGTAGTAGTAGTAGTAGTATTTATTAGGCGCCTTCGAAAAGAGACCAGAGCGCCGTGCACATTAAAATTTTCAACACATGTAAAAAAGCAGATCATTCAAGTTAAAACGGCAATATCATAAAACAAGTACCAAAATTGATTACAAATATGAAGTTAAGATTCCAAAACGGACCTAAATTTTGGTAATTCAGCTCTGTGTGGTGAGATGAGTTTCAATAAATTGAAAATAAATTGAATTGAAACGAAATATCTGCGTTTAAAAACAAAAACGGGCTACCTTGCCAATCGCGTTTGAGATTACCTACAGTAGCGCGTACGAAACTAATGGTTACACATGAACAACCTTGAAGTATGAAGTAACTATAATTACTTTTCTATGACTAAACTCAGGCCTACGCCACTATTAACAGTCCTATGGTAATATATGCCATTAAAATGTTACCTAAGATGATTAAGGATACAGTGTACACAAAAATTGTCTTCAAGGTGTATTTAATACTGCTTGCGATCGATGATCATTCTATAAATGCAATTGATGATCATTCTATAAATGCAATTGATTCAAGTCGTAGAAAAATAAACTATTACTTAATAAAAATAAATATAGCAAATAAAAAAACACACTGAAAAAAGTATATGATACTTAGTGATCTTTAAAGAGTCAAAGTTCCCTATAGGTAGGTTTATTTCTTTTTTCTAGAAGCATTTCTTTTTGCGAATATGGCACTATACAAAATTATAATTTATTATTAATACTTTACTAATTGTTTAATATTCAACACTTATTCCACATACTGCATTTGGAAAACTTTTCTAGGGTTTATATTGATGTCAATGCTGTAACAGCCACGATATTTAAGTGTTAAGCAATATGTATCGTACGGTTCAACACCTCACATGGAACCTCCGATTTCTGTACAAACTGTTTAATCTAAAGAATTTACTAGTTCGTGAGATAACTAATGGGATATTAACAACGGCGCTAATAATACCAATGAGTTATATTAATGATTAAAAATGCCATGTTTTAATTATTATGCAGGCAAAAGCGTAAAAAATTTACTACATCGTTTGTGAAAAAAAAACAATTTATCTAAGCATGAGTACATTTAATATGAAAAATTATCCAGTTAATCATTATAGGTGTTTATCTTCTCTTTACTGACAGTATAATACAAATAATAGTGAATTGAAGGTAGGCATATCAGAAGAAAAAAGCTTGCGTAAGACTGTCCATAAATTAGCGAAAACATTAAAATTATAAATGTAAAAGTTGGACAATTTACAACACATGTTTACAGATCATGATGAAACAAGAACCAGGTTGACAAGACAAACGGTGAAATGAAACATCACGTTGCATGACTAAGTATTAGAAGAAGTTGTGACATGGTAATAGGATGACAGAACGTAAATTTAAATACTTTCAAATATGATCATATGGTATAAAATGACAACTTACTTAAATTTAATATATTCAACATTTTAGAAAAATATATCTTTCAAAGGATAGTCAATATAAGAATTCGAACACTGTGAATATCAGTTAACGTTTAAGTAGGCCTATCTACAGATGAAGAGGAAACGGGTATAATACATAATTGGATTTCAGTAGTGGTTTCAACCTAGATAATAAACTTTAATCAATACGTGAGATGAATTAGGATGGTTCAGATATAGTATGGTGATGCTGGTTACATTGCCGGTTTTACAAACAGAATCTTCACCAAACCTAAAAGATGTTGACAATAGTTAAAAATGATAATAAAATAAGCCGCGATGTAGCATTATGTTTTTGATTTTTCAATAAA